CCCACCCTAACCCCTAAACCTTAAACCCCAAACCCCAGACCCTAAACCTTAAACCCTCAACCCAAAACCCCAAAAACCCTAAGCCTAAACCCTCAACCCTACTAAACCCTTAACCCTCAACCCTAAACCCTAAACCCTCAACCCTAAGCCAAAACCCTCAACCCTTAACCCTAAACCTTAAACCCTAAACCCTAGACCTTAAACCCTAAACCCTCAACCCGAAGCCAAAGCCCTCAACCTTCGAACCCAAGGTCGCCTCCGCCAAGAGCCGACGGGACAGGTACTGACACATTCGCCCTTGCTCGTCAGGTACCTGAGGCTCAGGGTTTAGGGGTTTGGGGTTTAGGGTTTAGGGGTTTAGGGTTTAGGGTTTAGGGTTTAGGGACTCAGGGTTTAGGGTTTAGGGTTTTGGAGTTTAGGGTTTAGGTGTACCTGGGCTTTCGTTCTTTTGGTTGGGGGTGGGTTCAGGGTTTAAGGCCTCGGGCTTGGTGTTTAGGGTCCCTGCACCCTGAGCTATGGGGTGTAGATCTCTAGGGCTTGGACTGGGAGTAGTTTAGGGTTGAATTAGTGAATACTTACACGCGCCTTACCAATGACCGACGAAGGGAGGCCCACACGGGCCTCCCTGCATCATCGATGTGAATGGCTGTTGAGGTGGTGGGCTTTCCACCAAAAGGACCATTACCTCCATTGGCTCCAGCATTCGGCCCGTTCTGTTGCCGGGGTGAATGGTTCCAGGACGGGCAGATGCTGGGTGTAGCCTGAGAGTTCATGGCCATATGCCCCTAAACCCTAAACCCTAAACCCTATAAACCCTAAACCCCTAAACCCCTAAACCCATGTCCAGGGGCCGCGGGCCTTTCCATGTCGATGGAAACTCGGGGTTCAGCACCCCGAGAACGGTTTAGGGTTTAGGGTTGCAGGTTAGGGATTTCGGGTTTAGGGGAAATTACGAAGACGACACCGGAGACGCCCAACAAAGGGGCCGTAATGTTTAGAATAGGGTCTTGGGGTATATACTATATACCTACAAACAAGAAGCCCCATAAATAGTAATACTAAGCTCTATAAATTACAAACCAGGAACCCCCAAAAAGTAGCATTGCTAATGACTTAGGCCCCTATGCCAGAGGCTGCTACTATGGAATTGGGTCCCCAAAAGACCATCCCTATTATGGTGTGGGGGGCCTAACTCCATAATAGTAGTGTATATGGGTAGTTCTCTATTCTCTCTTCTTCAACAACCAGGCCCAAAAAAGTTCAAACTTTTTGGGATAGACCTAAGACCTAATATATAAAGCCAAAAAGTTTTAAAGTCCTCCCATTGGCTATCTAAGTAATACGTAGGTCTAATCACCAGCCAAGCCCTAAACCCACTCTAAGCCCTTAACCCCGAAGTCGTGAAGTTCCCTAAACCCCAACGTTCCCCAGAAGCCCCTTAACACGCTTTGGGGTTTAGGGTTTAGGCTTTAAGGTCTAAGAAGGATGGTGAGGTTTATGGTTTAATTGCAGGCTGGCCGATCTTTGGGAACCGGTGGTCAGAGGAGTTGCAGCATGATGGTGTTGTGGTTTTTGCTACAGTGCATACAGGCTTGTTTGTAATCGCCTTCCTCAATCACCCAACTTTCTCGCATTGTAGAATCAAAAACTATCCAAACCATAGTCGTTCTCGACCGAACTACCTGAAATGAACGACGGTCATGCCTCTCATCATATGCCTCCCCTCAGTGGTAACCTACAACCAGTGTTATCCTAGAACTGGGTGCGCGTACCTATGCTCGGGGTACTTGGGCTCGGGTTTAGCAAGTTTCCGAAAGCCGGGAAGCCACTAAAGCTAGCACCGTAAATAGCTCATGATTTAGGGTCTCGGGGTACAAGCATGAAGGGTTTAGGGTGTAGAGCTTTTGTTTTCAAAACCCCTAAACAGGCACCCCGAAATCTCTAGAACAACTCCGTCTTTTCATCTGGAGGACAGGTTGTCACCTTTGCAGTGCGTCGCCCGCTCCTGTCGCAGTGGCTGAGTCACAGAGTCTTTGCTTGGGGCCCACGATTACTACCAGTGCAGAGCCCTTTTTGACCGGATGTCCCTGAACCCACTTAAACCCTAAACCCTAA